GTCTGTCAATAGAGCTTCTGAATGTTTACCCACAATGAAGCACAAAAGTCTGGAGACTAGAGTGAGTGAGTGAGTGTGTGTGTGTGTGTGTATGTGCACACTCACACGTGCATAAAGAGAGAGAAAATGAACATTAACTATTAGGAAATATAAAAGAAGCATTACAGAAGGTCTGTTTATAAATAAATGCTTTTAAAAAACTGAGAAAAAATCACTTTATGACCTATAATAGCCACTTGAGTAAAATGAATATACAACTGGTCCTCATATCCATGGGTTCTTCATTTGTGGATTCAACCAACCTCAGATAGAAAATATTCAAAAAAATAAATAAACAATACAACAGTAAAAAATACAAATAAAAACAAAGTACAACAACTATTTATATTAATATAATGTTTACATTGTATTAGGTATTATAAGTAATCTAGAGATTATTTAAAGTATATAGGAAGATGTGTATGGGTTATAGGCAAATACCACACCATTTTATATAAGGGACTTGAGTATCCACAGATACTGGTATCCGCAAAGGGTCCTGCAACCAATCCTCCACAGACACTGAGAGACAATTGTACTTTTTAATCACTTAAAATAAATCTAAGAATTTACCTGTGGTGTCCAGGAAACAGAAAATGGAATAGGAAAATCCACAAAACAATCTGGTGATTCTGCAGGGTACTATGAAAAAGCATAAAATTAGGTCATTTTTGCTTCTTTGTGATAATTTCACATGAAGTATTTTTAAAACACTGGATGTATTAGGAAAAAAAGTATTATTATAACTGCAAATATATTATGTATAAATATTTTTATTCTACTACCAGAGTGTTGTCAAGAGCTAATAGTCAACCTATGTTCAGGAGATACAAAGTTTGGTGATTTGGGAGTGGCAAAGCAGTCAGTGTTGAATAAGAGCAATTAATTCAGTGTCAGGTCAGCTGCTAATGTTACGGTTTGAGGGGTGAACCAAACTGGATCTCAGTTTATCTTAAAAATGAGAGATCGAATTGTTAATATTTAATTTCCCTCCAGCCTAAAATTTAATTTCAAATTGCAGTCACCATTTAAGTAGGCAGTGTAAGTTAAAAGAATCGAGAAATGCACAAAAATGAATACATATAGCTATCAATTAAAAATTATTTTCCATATTAAAGCAATTACTTTTAGCAAGAAGATAAAAAGAAACAATGAAACATCTTCTGGTTTATTAAGGAAAAATAAAACTAATAGTTTTAAGCAAGAAAAGCTTGTTCAAGGTTGGTAAATACAAAATTAATTATTTAATTAGTTATACAAAAAGTGGCAGTCATAAGAACAAATCAAGTTTCTAAATTAACAAAGATAGACCAGGCATGGTGGCTCATGCCTGTAATCCCAGGACTTTGGGAGGCCAAAGCAGGAAGTTTGTCTGAGGCCAGGAATTTGAGACCAGCCTGGGTAACATAGTTATATCCCCATCTCTACATATTAAAAATTAGCTAGGCGTGATGGCATGCACCTATAGTCCTAGCTACTAGGAAAGCTGAGGCAGGAGGATCTTGAGCCCAGGAATGTGAGGTTACAGTGAGTTATGATAGGGCCAGTGCACTCCAGCCTGGACAACAAAGACCCTGTCTCTAAAACAAACAAGAAAAACAGAAAATAAGTTAACAATGACAAAAAGGACAAAAGGTATAGTTTTTCTGAAAATCAACTTTCTTATTAGAGAATTATACCACATGATTTCTCTAAAATCCAATTCTGATTCTTCAAAGTCTCATATAATTAAAAATACTCAATTCTTTCCATTAAAAAGTTAAATTTACTGAAAGAATATTAGTTTTAGAAAAATTCTGACAAAATGTTCATTTGACAAAATGTTTAAAATAAGTTTTAGACTTTCACTTTTTTGAGCCTCTTATTTTTTAGTATTCCACTGGGTAAGCAGAAGGGGACAAAAAAATTCTCACCATAGTATTTAACAAACATCTGAAATCAATGTTTTCCAAAAAAAGTAACATTTAGCTACAACGATTAGTTGGCTAAAAAGAAACTTATCAACATACATTCTGACTAATGGTATCTGGCTATGCAGAACTAATAACACAACGGCAGATATATAGGAAATCATATAAAATATTACAATGTTCTACTTCTGAAAAAAAAAAGAAAAAAAATGGGCTAAGATTGGGGAGGAAGCTCTATTTCAGACAATTAAAAATTTCAGATGATGTACTTCAGTGTATAACTGCTGCAATCACTAGAAAAACAATTTATATACCATATTTAAAAGTCATGTGATTGTCTCAAAGTAAATACAGACAGGACCTCAGCTTTTTCTGGTTCTAAGTCTACTAATTTACTTGTAAGATCTTGAACACGTTGTTTAATTTCTCTGGCTATTTTACGTGTAAAAATGATGAAACTCAACTAAAAAGTGTTAACAAAATCTCTTTTCCCTCTAAAATGTCAGGATTCTTTAAAAATAATAATGCACACTTGAAACCTCCATGGGTCAAAATGGAAAATTTAGTTCAAGTTGCTGCTATTTATCTTCTAGTGATGCTGACAATGAACAATAATGAATCATCAATCTAGACAGAGTAAGAAGTTAATGAAATGTTTACTGTACTGGGAGTAGATATACCAAGTAAAGTATCTGTGGCCTCATTAAGTACATACACAGCTCATTACATTAAAAGAGAGTAAGACTCCACATTCAAGTAGAACTCAGTATAGTAAATGATACAAATGTATTGACACAGAATGAGATCCACAAATAGTTAAACAAAAAAGCAAGTTACAGTAAATACAATATGATCCCACAGACATGAGTCCACTATGCTTACTGAGATGATGACATCTTTCAAATATATTTTTAAATCTGTAATACAAGTATGTATATAATAAATTAGACTGATCTATTTGTGGGTGGTTTACTATATCTATTATGAATTAAATATATATTATATGTATTAATTATATTCACATGTAAGACCAATTTTGTTTATAAAATAAACTTTACATAATTGTATAAAATCTTAAAAGGATTTATCATAAATTATTAAATATGCACTAGCATTCTAGATATTCATTTTCAGAAACAGTTTCTAAATTATAGCAGTACGTCCTCATATCCATGGGTTCTTCATTTGTGGATTCAA